GTTTAGCTGAAGCTGCTTTGTTGACTGTGGCAGCATTAATGTTTTTACAGAATAGAAATCATTTATATTCACTGAAGAAGTCATAACTGTTTTTTCTAATATGGGCCTAAAACCTCCACCTAAAACCAGCCAAAATATTTTTAACATAAGCTGAATATAGAATATCTATGTTTTCCCTCAAAGACAATTCTCATTATTACAAAAAAGGCACAACATTTGCATGTTATGATAGATTTGATTCAGAAAAGGCTGGTAGTGCTGAGTGAAATACTAGCATCTTTGGCAAGTGACATGTCCATGCAAATCAGAGGCTACCCAAAGAAAACAAAACAGCCTTGAGAGCTATTTCTGGCTTTCCAGTTATCACCACTCCAATACCCTAAAATATCCTTAGCCAAGCAGGTGCTTATCAATACCCACGCTGTGCAGGGAATATGCCATTATGAAAGCATTAGGGTAAAAATTAAGTTACAGCTGGAGTACATACCATGCAAGTACCAGGAGAACATTCTTAGACACGAGAACATGAGAAAAGAGACGGCAGCACAAGGAGAATCCGGGAATGAACAGCTGCGAGGAGAACCCACCCACCAGGGGCTGCATCTGCTGGGAAAGTCATCCCAAGTTCTTATGTAGTCCAATACTTTACAGAAAGAAATACTAATGAGCGTGTAAGCTTCAAATATACTTTACTTATCTGAGAAGCCAGGGCTTTATTTAGGGTTCGTTTGTCTTTGTAAAGAGGACGAAGTAGAGTTTCAGATGCAATATTGGCAAAGTAACTGCTGTAGAGACTCTTAATTGTAGTACCTTAAAATGCATAAGTGGTTCTAAAGTTAGATTAAGGGTATTCAAAAATGCTAAGAATATGGAGTATGGCTTAAGCATGTGAAATTAATTCCAGCTTATTAAGATTTTTGCAAACAACTATCGGAAACGAGACAGGCCAAAAAAATCCCTTTCACTTCTATTTTGCACAGAGCTAATCTAGAATCTTTGTCTTTGCTCCAGTATGTTCCTTTGGTAAGACAGACCAAAAAGCTAACCCTCTAAACTCCTGAAGAAGAATATGAACTTAGAAATGGAATTGCGTACAAACTAATGTTTTTAAATTCTTAAAGCATATGCACGCCATCTTCTCTTCAACCCTGAATGAAACACGACTGGAGTTTACAAGTGGATTTTACACTTGGGTGCAGCAGTAAAACAGCAAAGTGCTTATCTGCTAGCAAAGAATTTAGAGTTGAGGAATCTAGTTCTGAATGTCACTGTAAAAGCTGTGGTGTCCTATTCTCACCAGCACTCCTGCATCAATGCAACATTAGCGCAGTTAAACCATGAGCAGGAAGGTGGGATGGGACAGGAAAAGCACTGCTATCAAGTAACTTTAGCTAACCCCTTTACAGACACTGAAGAGAAGAAAACCTTGCAGAGGAAGGCATTTATGAAAAGCCAGCTACTGCGCTTTGTGCTAATCAAACCTCCTATATGTGCAGTTTCATGCCTAGACAAAGGAATTAAAATAAGCAAGTTCAGAGAGCACAAACTCATGAATTACTATATAATCCAATTTCAATGGAATGTGTCCCTGCCTTCTAAGCTAGTCACAAGCAGCGCAGTGGTTTGTCATCACTGCTGTTGAAGCATCCAAAAGCAGATTCC